AAAAGGCTGGGTTTGATTCTCCTTGTGATCGTACTACGCTTTCCCCCGCCCGTTTTGGCTTAATAAGTACCCCATTTAGCTCAGAGGCAAATCGTGATCCGGGATCAAAGCAAGAGAAGGTCAACACAACAGATGAGATCGAGTTGGATCACCCCGACATCAATTCCAACGCGGGCACACCTGTTCGAGTCCCTTCCAGTTCTGCAGGTCTTGTAGACTCATGTTTAACTTGCGATCATGCGGATGATGAGGAATTAGAATTACCTGAAATCAGTGGCGTTCGCAGCGCTGGAATTCATCACACAAGTAGACTATCTTCATCTCCTCTCTCCTGTTTATCTGCCTCTGTCGCTTCCAGTCTGCATCAGTCACAATCAGCCAGTCGTCTGTCAGGTGACTCAAAAAATACCAGTGCAATGACTGATAGCAGTGGCGCAGCTGCTTTAGAAATCCTTTCCATGACCGGCCAATCGTTGACAGTGGCCACCAGTCGCTAGTTGCGTCCTTGCATATACATCCATTTTCCTCATTTTGTTTGATGGACCTATTTTCCTTTGCGCCTTGCTTCCAAATGTCCCCTATGGTATTAATCGTAGTCTAAGGGGTCTCATGCAGAACACATATTTTCCTCTCTCAGATTCCATCAAGTGACATTGGCTTTATTCCTGATCCTTCTCTGCGCTTAGTCCGTTTTGGGAACAGCGTTTATGCTTCCTGCTATTTGTGCCCAGTGATTTCGCTATAGTCCCTTTTTAAATGTCGCTTACTCTAGAACTTTTCTAATACTACCGTATGTATAAAGATGCCTTTAAAGCTTTCATGTCATCCTTCATTAAGTTTGACCAAAAATCTTCGAGCTCTAAATTGCGACTATTTTATATTGATTTACTATTTTATGCGTATGTATAAGTTGATAGACATATTTATACAGAAGTAATCTGAACTTTGTTATACTCATTCTCGTTCATTTTTTGTGGATCTATGCGGACGAGCTGTGGGTTCAACTTGAATTTTAATGTGCCAAACGCAAGGCGTAGTGGTACTGTGGCCCTCATTTAGTGTGTATTAAGCCACTTTTCCATATGTACGGTTTATCTGGCTCTTGAATAGTATTCCATTTCTAGTTTATGTTTGATGTTAACCTCGAACGCTTACATGTATAAATATGCGGTTATGTATATATAATAGGTTTAGTTTAGCTGACTTGACGTGCGGGTCACTTAAAGTATATGCCTTCATCGGTGCTTTTGCTTCTTTTGTATAGTTTTGACTGCCTAGCGAACTTTTTTCTTCATTTTATATCTAATCACTGCTGTAGCATCTTGATTTTCATTGTCCTTTGTAAAAAATCTCTCAACAAGCTCATTAATCTAACTAGGGGTCTTTATTTTACCGACGTCTATCATTCCAAATTTTCATTTATTATAAACACAACTTCCATGTCCATGCTCTGTTTGTTGTACAATAGCATTTTTTGCTCAAAGTCTAAATTGACTTGTATTGTTTATTGTTTGATCTTTCCTTACCCACTTTTCCGAAATTCCCAATGGGTTATTTTTGATTTCAAGATCTGTAACAAAAATTGGCTGATGCAGTTTGTTTAGTTAGTTTTCATACTTTATGGTCGCTCATTTGGCCTTATTTCTTTCCTGCACTTCCGACATTCTCTTGCCTCCAGTTAATTCCGTTATAATTGTCTTTTTTAACTAATTACCCTGGCCCCATTCAGACGAGCACTTCATTTTATACTTTTTGTTGCAATAAAAAAGATATACCAACAAGTTATTTCTGTAAATTTTGAATAATAGGTTGACGTGGTGGGTAAAGATTGCTGGAATGGTATGTTTTATTCCACGCTTAATATCTTTGATGCCAAATTTACAAACGATAAATCTTGGATCGACAGATGGAACTATTTAGAATTTTCATTTAATCTGTGAAATTCATTTTAGCTAATCCTTATTTGGTTGTTCCTTGCTGATGTTTCATCTCAATGCTTCGCTCGCCTTGTGTCTTGGTTCCCGACTCATTCCCGGTGTATTATAATTTACAATCATTTTCGCTCACTAGTAATTCCTTAAATTTAATGGGACTGTCGGGCTCTGGATAGTTGGGCCAAGGGTATAAGCCTTTCGAGTGATTGCCGCATAGAACGAGGCTTAAAGGTTTCAAAGTAAGGCCACTATTAGCTGATTCACCAATTGAGATAATATTAATCTCTTGGATCCCGTGGTCCTGTTATTTTATAAATTGGATTCTCCTCAGGTCGATTTGCACTTTCGACCTTTGCTGGACTTCCTTCCAGCCCAACTTGACTTGTACCGGG